ACCGCCACCACCTTGGTGATCATGTGCCCGGCAGGGGTGCCTCGTGCCACCACATCGGTATAGGTGGCGGTGGTGTTGGGGTGAGGGTACAGCACGGTTGGGGCATTGTCATTGAGGTCAGTGACAAACACACTGACAGAGACATTAGTGGCCAGAGGCGGAGAGCCACCGTCCTGGACCTGCACCATCATGCTGAACTCCACCTGGTCCTCGTGATCCAGGGAGGTGAGCAGGTAGAGGGTGCCATTCTCCCGGTTGATGGAGAAGATGTGGCCTACAGTGGGGTCACCCTGCAAGAGGGTATAGGAGAGATGGGCGTTGCGCCCAAGGTCCGGGTCTGTGGCGCTCACGTTAAGGATGGGGATGCCAGGCACGTTGTTCTCCAGCACATAGACATCATAGGAGTCCTGGGAAGACTTGGGCGCATTGTCATTGACATCTGACACCTGCACCAGGATCTGTTTTACTGCAGACAACGGTGGTGAGCCCGAGTCCCTAGCTGTGATAGTGATGTTATACTCTGATGCCTTTTCCCGGTCCAGAGCTGCTTTTGTTTTCAATGTGTAGTAATTTTTGAGGGAGGAGCTGAGCATGAACGGGATCCCAGGAGAAATGAAGCAGTTCACCAGACCGTTATCATGGGAGTCCAAGTCCGTTACACTCAGCAGAGCTACGACCGTCCCTGGGGCTGCATCTTCAGGCACGGGGCTGTACACAGAAGTCACTGTCACCTCTGGAGCATTGTCGTTCACATCCACAACTTCCACCAGCACTTTGCAATGAGCCACGCCAGGAACGGCGCCCTTGTCTTTAGCCTGTAAGTAAATCTCATACAGCTTCGTTTCCTCATAGTCCAGCTGCCCCTTGACCCTCAACTCCCCCGTGGCTGAGTCCAGAGCAAAGAGTTCTCGTACCTTGGCAGGTGTGTGGCTGCTGAAGGAATAGATGATGTCTCCGTTGGGCCCATCATCCAGATCGTACGCACTGATCCTGGCGACCAGGGTACCACTGGGCGTGTTCTCCCTCACGCTTGCCTTGTAGGCGGACTGGTTGAAGACCGGGGCGTTATCGTTGGCGTCCACAACGTCAATGTGGATCTGCACGTGGGCCGACCGTGGCGGGCTGCCTCCATCCAGCGCCGTCAAGACCAAGTGCAGCTCCCGTTGCTCCTCCCTGTCCAGCTCCTTCTCTAGCACCAGCTCTGCGTACTTGCTGCCATCCACCCTTGTCTGCACGTCGAGCGCAAAGTGCGGGTTGGCGCTGAGCTGGTAGGTCTGCAAAGAGTTAACCCCCACATCGGGGTCTTGCGCGCTCTCTAGCGGGAAGCGCGCCCCGGCCGCCACTGACTCGCTGATTTCCAGCCTCGCCTGGCTGCTGGGAAAAACCGGGTCGTTGTCATTGATGTCCTGGATCTCCACGGCGCCGCTGTACAGCTCCAGCGGGTTTTCCACCACGATCTCAAAGCTGAGGGAGCAGGGAGAGAGCGCGCCGCAGAGCTCCTCCCGGTCTATCCGCTCGCTCACCAGCAGCGCGCCGCTCGTAAGATCCACCCCGAAGTACTTCTTGTTGCCGCCGGACACCACCCGCAGCCGGCGCCCCGGCAGCCGCCCGAGGTCCAGCGCCAGGTCGGCTACCACGTTCCCCACAGCGGAGCCTCTCCGCGCCTCCTCGGGAATCGCATAGCGAATCGCGGCGGAAACCCAGTCGGAAACGCCGAACAAAAGCAAGAGGCTCAGTACCTGCCCCGTCGTCACCCCGCGACTCCTTGCAGCAACGCCGTTCATCGCACAGGACGGCCGCGCTCTCCGCTTCGCCCCCCCGCCCCGGCTAGAAATCTGCAGCTCGCCCCGTCATGCCGCTGCCCAGCGCGCCCCGGC